TATTTTGTTTGTTTAGGTATGAGCAGGCTCGTACAGTGAGCGATATAATTGCGAGGCGTCTTCCGCTTTTATTCCTTGACCAGAAACTTGCAATAGGCGCTATAGACACCGTAAGCAGCAAACAGGCAGCATCAGCAGCAGTTCGTTTGATTATGTATTTTTAAATTACTTTTTAATTTGAATTTTATTTGCATGTTTCGGTCCTAAATGAAAATATTTCATTGCTGCTCATACCACTACAACTGTTGTTGCTGCTGCTGCTGCTGCTGCATGTGGGTGTCACAGGTGTGCAGCTTAATGGCGAAGGAGTTGGGCTGGAGCGCGTCAGTAGCAGCAAAGAAGAAAGAAGATGCCCTTGCATACGCTAAAACCTTTTCTGTGAGCCCTTAAAGGGTGGGTGTATATCCCCACCGCAGGTGACAGAGGCGTCCTCTGTACAGACAGCGCAATAGGAGGCAATTTTGTCAATTGCAGTTCCTTTATTAGGAGGCAGAGTGCAGACGCTTTTTCAGCGTCTTTATAGACAACAATTCTTTTAGATTTATCGCTGGGGTTTAGGAGGAAAGGAGAAGAGAGAGGCTTTCTTCTCCCTTTATTTACTCCCACACACACCTCGCGCACGGGTGTCTGTACACCGTAATCTGTCTTGTTGTTTTATAAACGCACCCCAAAGGGGCCTTCTGGCCTGTTTTAGGCCGCAGTGGCATATATTTACAACTTGATGTATGTATTTATTAATTTCTATATATGTATATATATATATATATATATGCATATATATGCATATATATACCTAGATTGGCTGTCAGAAGCCCGCGTCACCGAAGCAGGTTGCCTTAGCACAAAAGTTTGTCTTGAGGGATTCACATACGACTGAGGGTTTCCGTCTTCTTTCGCAAGTCGTCTCCTAATAGGAGACACTTCATCAGGCCTAGTTGGCTCCCTCCAGCCAGAGAAAACGCTCATAAAGCAAACAAAATAATAAGCATGGGGGTCCCCCCTCATGTCCTAAAGCGGAAACCCCTCACCTGACAAAATACTGAGCATCAAGGGACCCTTTAATCCAGGGGGCACACTTAGGCACTGCACTTTGTTGGGGCCCCCAAGGCGCCTCCATCAAGCCCGTAGGGGGCCCCTAAGGGAGCTCGCAGAGTTGGGCTGAGGGGGTATTGGGGCCCCCTCGGTAGAGACAGGCTCAGAAGGGACAGCGCCAGAGATGAGCCTGTTGACAAACAAGACAATAGACCTTGATAAAGCTGCAACAAAAACGAATGCCTGCGAGTGCTTGAAGTTCAGGGCGTAGGCTTTAGGGTTTAGGGTTGAGGGTTTACCATTGCAAGGGGAGGCAGGGTTGTCTGAGGACTTCTTCCTTAGGGCCAAATTGAATTATTCGGCCATCGACGAGCACCTGAAATAGCCGCACATAGTAACATAAAGTGCTGTTTGGGTTTGGTGTCTCCTGCCTCTGAATCTAGTATTATGTTTGTCTCTGTCTCTCTTTCGTGTTGTTGCTCCCCTTCTGTCTCCTCTCTGTCTCCATTATTTAAGGGTCAATTTAGTGTCTCTAAGGCGCGCCCAAGGCACCTCCGCAGCAGCAGCAGGAGCAACAGCAGCAGCAGCAGCAGCAACAGCTGCTGCTGCTGCTGCTCCAGGAAGGCTCACCATGATGTGATCTGCAATATCGAGGACACCGGGGCGGTGAGAGACAAAGAGGCATGTCTCTCCCCGTAAGTTCTACACTCAAGACAAAACGCAGTAGACAGATATGAATATGTATATATACTATATATCATATATATTATATTTATATAAGTGCGTCTATGTAGGTAGATGTAAATATTTCTATGTATGTGCATATAAATGAATATATATATATATATATATATACATATATATATATATATATGCATACATATATATATAGGCATGTCTCTCCCCGTAAGTTCTACACTCAAGAGAAAGTGCAGGAGAGAGACAAATAAACAATATAAATAAATATATATATACTTATATGCATGAATATACAGATAGATATTATAAATATGTCTCCACTGTTTGAGTGAATTCCTATTTCATGCGTTTAAAAATGAAGGCACAGAGGCAACGGAGAAAAACTTGCTTCTTTTAAATTCCTTAGCACTTGGCGTTCGGTGTCTGCATCAAGAGAAGATGTGGCCTCATCTAGAAACAGCATTGTGGGGAGTGCGCTGCTGCTGTCTCCTTTCCGTTTGTCCTGGGTGTCTCCTTGTGACTGCTGAAGGCGGTACAAGGCCATTGCGAGGCACACGCGCTGTCTTTGTCCCCCTGAAATGTCCACTCATCCACATCCAAACCCTAAACCCTAAACCCTAAACCCTAAGTACGCTTATCCTAACCCTATTGGGAATTACCTGATAAGACAGCCCCGCGCTCGTAAAGTTGCGTCTGAAGGCCCTCAGGAAGAGCAGCAGCAAAAGGTGAGACGTGTGCAGCATCACACGCTGCTGAGACAGGCAAATGCAGACCCGAAGTTGCTGCAGCAAACAACAGCAGCAACAGCAACAGCAGTGCATAAGCAAAACCCCAATCGCTGTGCACGTACACCGCGTGATGCCTGCCCACGCATACAGAGAAGACGCATTCAACCGTCGGGGGCACGCATGCATGCAATGTGTAGGTGTGCACGCATGCATTGTTAAGGCATGCATGCAATCTCCTGTGCGTGTTTCGTGTGGTTTTTATGCATGCATGCGGGTGTATACAAGTACGCATGCATGCATGAACTTGCAACTCCTCCTCGGGTGTACGGGGAGAGAAGTTCCCGAATGCGTCCCTCGGCCCCTGAGCTCTATTTTGTGGGGTACGCATGCATGCACGCATGCATGCATGCATGTGTACAAGGCCGCAGTTGCACATACACCGCACTGTGGTGTATATGCCTTAGGTGCATGCACCGGCGAGTGCATGCGGCATTATTTGTCCGCAAGAGAAAAACCTAGGGGAAAAAGAAGAACATTATTTAAATTGATTAAATTGCAAACTCCCTTTAACAGAAAAAGAGACACAAAACTCATTTAATAAAAGAGTCAGTGACAGACCTCCTATCGCTTCCTGCTGTGCCAAATACCCATAGCGAATCTGCGCCTCCAAAGAAGTCCCAGAAAGCAACAAAGAATCCTGCAGCACCGGAATAACCTGTACATACACCCCAGCGCCGCACCGAACGCCCACCGGTAAACCCTTTTAGGGCCCCTTAAGATCATAAACCCTAGACCCTAAACCCTAATCCCTAGTATACCTTATTAACCAATCCCTAAACCGCAAACCCTATGATACTGGGGAACCCTAAACCCTCTTTAACTGATTATCTCTTGGGCCGCACAAGTGAGCGAATGAAACGTTCGTCAAAGGATTGTATTGAAAGGCCTTCAAAGAAGATGCCGCCTCTTTGGGGCTCAAATAAACGCAGCAAAAGAGCACCCAATGAACTCTTGCCACTCCCACTGGGACCTGTTTCACCAACACACGCACAGCAGCAACAGCAGCAGTAACAGCAGCAGCAGCAACAGCAGCAGCAGCAGAAACAGCAGGAGTAGTCGCTTAAACATCAAAGGCAGGAAATATTAAAGCCTGTGCAATAATTACATGCATAAGATTAAATGCAGGAGCCATTAAAGTTTCTAGGAGACACCAAAGAGGGGAAAAAGGTACAAAACAATACCCGTAATGGCAACAACAGCTCCTGGAGGCACTTTGAAGCTGAGACCCCGAAGGGCCCAGTGGTTTTGCCGGAGAGGATAAGAAAACCACACGTCTCTAAACTCAACAGAAAGGCCTCGATGATCAGCTGTCGCAGTCCCGCATGCTGCTGCCGTTGCTGCTATTGCTGCTTGTTGCTGCTGCTGCTGTTGCTGTGGCTGCTGCTGCTGCTCTTGCTGCTGCTGCTGCTGCCGGCGGAGGGCCTCCTGAAAGCGACTCAACTCGCCGGGGTAGTTCAGTGGGGAGGCCAGGAGGGGGGGCGGTGGCTCCAGCAGCAACTTTAGCATATTGTCTGCTGCAGCAACAGCACGATAAGCATCACTCCATGCTGTAGCGCAGCCCTGGATTGAAGAGCCGACGAAAGCAGAGTACAGCGCCAGAGACATCACTTGGCCTCCCGTTAGGACCCCTGCAGCGGCAGCAGCAGCAGCAGCAGCAGCAGCAACAGCAGCAGGAGCGACAGCAGTAGTAGCAACAGCAGCAACACAAGCAGCAACAACAACAGCAGCAACAGCAGAGATACTTGCATTAAGATGGTTGGCAGCAGATAGCAGCGCCTACGGCAATCAGGCAGGGAAGGAGACAGAAGGGTAAAGGGACTCCACAGGGATAACAAACAAACCCTGAGCAACAAGAGATGCTGCAGCATGAACGAGATGAATCAACAGCCCCGAACCAGCAGCAAAAACGAAGGCGTGGCGACAGCCAACAGCCACAGAACTCTTTTGCGCTGCTGTCAGTACGCCTTCCAGCTGCAGCAGCAACAGCAGCAAAACAGCAGCCACACAGCGACACACGCCGCAGCGCCAGGAATGCAGCAGCAAACAGGTCCAAACTCGGTCAAGAGACAGTGTAGCAAAAGACGACGGGGGAGCCGCAGCAGAAAGTGCAGCAGCAGAAGCGCCAGAAGCTTTAGCCGCAGCAGCAGATGCCGCAGATAAAACAGAAGCAGCCTCACTGCAGCATCAAATGCCTTGGCCTCGAGGGCCTCGCCATTGAGACTCCTGAGTTGTCTCCTCGCACTAAGCGCCCCTGTAGCGCGCTGGAGGGCCCCCTGCAGCGCCTTGCTGTGCTGCTGCTGCAGTCGAGCCACGTGTCTTGCTGAGAGACGCAGCAGCGCCGCTGCGCCAGCAATCGGCACCAGCAGAGACAGCAGGAAGGAGCAGGGAGCAGCAGCCCAGCACAAGGCGATGCCTGCACAACAGAAACAAAAACGGAGACAACAGAGACAGAGCCAGGGACAGAGACAACCTGAGCAGGAACCCACTCAAACTAAAAAGGAGACAATCGGAGGTGCAAGGAGACGTGCAGAGACAGAATGACAAGAACGAGGAGGCAGCAGCAAAAGCACTAAAAGGAGTAAGACAGACAGAGACAGACAGCAGCAGCGGAGAAGATTAAAATGCATACAAGGCGCAGGTCGAGACAAACTGCAAGCGTGCAAACGCACAGAAGAGACAGACATAAGCAGAGGAAGACAGCGGGGGCCCGCAGGAGCGGTGGAGACAGAAGAGACAACCAGTAGGAGACAGACGATAGAGCCAAGAGGAGATAAGGCAAGGACAAGAAGAGAGGAGACACCACGAGTAACAGTGGCTTGGCGTACAGCAGGAGACAGAAGCAGAGAAACAGGAGACAGTGGGTAGTATGCAAAGAGACAACAGGAATCAAAAGGAGACAAAGGGAAACAAACGAAGCCTGGAGGAGACAAAAGCGCAAGACAAAAGGAGACAAGCGACTGTCTCCTCACCGACAACAGACGTTAGGAGACAACGAAGACCAAAGGATATATCCACCAGCACTCTGCTCGCTGTCACCACGTCTTCTGCACGTCACAACAACCCCTCAACCCTAAACCCCAAATCCTAAACCCTAATCCCTAGACCCAAAGCCATCTGCCGAACCCCTGGCCTGTTTGAGGTGCGCAGATGAAGGCTTAAGACTGCGAGCAAGCCGCAAACTTAAGCCTTTAACCCTCAACCCTAAACCCTAAGGTCGCAGATGGAGCGCTAGAACCGTTCTAGGCCCCGGGGCCCCTCCAGAAAGCCTCATAGGCCCAGGGCCCCCTAAACAAGCTGCAGCAAAGGCACGTACGAGACAAATGCTTCGCTAAGGCCCCCAACTGCTGCTGCTGGGAATTGGGGATCGTCTGATAAAGAAGCCGCCTAAATAAACTGCTCCGGAGGCGGCAGGCCATCCGTTCTATCTGCAGAAAAGCACCCCACACGCCCAAACCCTAAACTCTAAACCCTAAACCCTAAACCCTAACCCGTAAATCCCGTGCGGAGCCGAACGTGCAGAGAGGGACGCAAAGGAGACAGTAGGATTTCTTACTGTAGACTCAAGAAGAAAGAGTCGGGTGAATGAGGTGATGGCCCCCACAGCGCCCAAGGCGACGCAGAGACCCAAACGGGCCCCAGGTGTCTGCAGCCTGTCTTCAACGGTTCTTATAAGATGGCCCCAGCTGCTGCGTTCTCCTGCTGCTGTTGGTGCTGCCGTTGCTGTTTCCAGCCCAGCTGATACAGCAGCAGCAGTTGCTGCTGCTTCTGCTGCTCCTGTCGCAGCAGTTGCTGCTCCAGAGGCGCCGTCCTGCGGACCTTCTGGGCCCCGCAGCGTATCGGTAAACCCCATAATGGGATGCTCCGCCCCCTGCTGCTGCACCTGCTGCTGCAGCAGCACCTGCTGCTTCTGCTGCTGTTGCTGCTGCTGAACGGGGGTTTGTGCGGCGGCATCCACTAACTTGCCGACGGCGAGAGGTAGCAGCAGCTGCGTCCCGCTGCTCAGCAGCAGCGCAAGGATTACTCCTGCCACTCGCATTTTGTCTTCCTTTAGAAGCCCCAGCAGCTCCCAGAAAGCCACGCGGGGCCCCCGGCCTGAAGGGCACTCCGAGGCCCCAAGGGGGGCCCCCTCCATTCCTGGGGGCCCTTCTCCTGCAGCTCCTCCTCGGGAACCCTCAAAAGATTCTTGCAAGGCCCCTGCATCTTTAGAACCCAGAGAGAGATGTAGAGGGGTGGCCCCCAATTTTGGTTTGTCGGGGGCCCCAGGGGGCCCCCTTGAAGAAGCGGAATGTATTGCTGCAGGGGATAATGCCCCCTTAGCAGCACCAATGTACGGATGGCGAGACATCTTGGGGGGCCCCCTAAGAGAAGCTGACAAGTTGAGTGGCTGCCCTTCCATAATGCGAGGCCAAAGGGAATGCAAAAAAGGGCCTCGGGGCCGGGGGGCCCCCAGCGCAAGGAGGTGCCCAGCTACAGGGCCCAGAGGGGCCCCTGTTCCAGGATACTTGTCTGCATGGGAGGCCCTCCGGAAACACTTCAGCGTGTGCTGTGGTTTGCACGCAATAGGCAAACAGATGCTGCGGAAGGGCCCCCCCTTCATCCAGATGTCCCCAACGTAATAGGGACCCATCGTAGAGGCTGCATGCGCACTAGGAGGCCCTACAACACTGGGCAGTCTGTGCATCCTCTCCTCAACAGGGCCCCCAGCATGCGCCGCCTCCAGTTGGGGCCTGGGGGCCCCCTTCCTCCTGAGGGTAGGTGGGAGTGCGCTAGCGCTTCTGCTGCTGATCCTGCATGCTTCGGCGTCTCGGAAGAATAGTGTATAGCCTCCACAGAAGTGTAGACGATCAGGGCCTCGTTGGGGCCCCCCTCGGTCTGCTTGCGAGTTACACAGGCGTATGTACGTAGAGCCAAACGAAAAGCCCCGCCTGCAGCTGCGGCTGCTGGTGCTGCGCTGCTTGTGGTTTGTTTGCTGGGGTAGTTGCTGTTGGGGGCGTTGTTGTGGCTGCTGCTGCAGTTGCTGCGTGTCCTGCAGCAAGAGCAGCAGCAGCGCTGCGAAGCTGTACCGAACCCCCGACCCCAAGTAAGTAATAAATCAAGCAAACACCAATGCTTTCTTACAGAAGTTTGAGGAAAACTAGATGAAATCGGCGGAAGACCAGAGATGAGCCCTCAGGGCGGAGAGGTCCGTGGGCCCCTCGAGGCCGATCGAGGGAGGGCCCACCCCCTTCTTCTTCGGTTTTTAGTCATGTCTGCTTAAATGACAAAAGAAAAATATGTGCAATAATGATGAGGCAATCGAACAATGCAGTTAAGGGTGCTGTTTAAAAGCTCTTTAGACGCTGTTGCAGCGCCCCGGTGATGAACATAACACAAAAGTCTCTCGGACTGCCTACTAGTTTTAGCTGCAACTTCTCCGCTGTACACTCACTTCGTCTGTTAATGTTGAATAATTGTTGTTCAAGTTTGTTTCTAAGGCTTAATGACTACGGGTCAGGGCTTCGCCCCTGGAGTTGAGAGCATACCGTCGATCCCACCAAGGCACCAACTACGACGCGCAGCTTTCTTTTCTTTGAATTTCCCCTAAATGTTTAAACAGAGGAGATTGTCGATGTGCACTCAAGCATATGGCAGCAGTGTCGCGCCGGGTTCCGTCTGTTTCACTCCCAACGGCTTTTCTTTCTAATAGTAGCGCGTTTTCCTCTGCGAATTGCAGGAAAGTCTCTTTAAATACGATTTCTACTGACTTCGTACTGCTGTTGGTGACGGGCTAAACTTCAAAATAAGTGCAAAATGCCCTTGATTTCAGATATGCTTGCCTTCTCTTGTCGTACTGCAGGCCCTACTGCATCTACTATTGCATAAAAAACGTGCATAGCACGCTTCCTTTCTATGGATGAAAGCCTTCGTTGCTGGAAGAAGTTTCATGGACATTGTAGTCCAACATGCTTCTGATAGGCATCCTTTAGAAGCCATTGTATGTAGCATCATGAACCGCGAAGGGCTCAGATGTTGCACTGCCTTAGGTTCGCACTTGTGAGCAGGGAGAAACGCCAGCCCAAAAGCCACAAACACAGACGGATCACACATCCGTTCGTAAACATAAGAGGACACACAACAAATGCACTATGGGGAGCAATGTAACGATCCCGTGTGAGTCGGACTTCATATCTGGGGGGGCACACAAATGAAGGCTTGGCGTATACGTTCACAAAGCGGTGCTGCACTTGTCTCTGAGGGTGCAGCAAGCCTCAAGGGTTCACCTTTGTCCATGCTTTCTGAAAGGGGAGAATCTGATATCCCATCAACGAACCCCTTCGATCTACCTGAGATCTCTGACAGCGGAATGAATTTCACAGAAACCTTACGCACAGCTACGTCGACATACGGCGCTCATCTCGGATAGCCGCACCTGTCGTCAGCAGCTTTTCCAGTTCCCACACTGTAGGCGAATGGCAGGAA